TGAACGCAAGCAGAACGCTTTCTGGTGGCGCATCTTTGATAACCGCATTGACCTTAGCCCCTTCTCAATCCCCTTTTTGAAAGCTGTGGCCAGGTACTCACTGGCGGGTTGAGCGAAGAGCACTTCTCCATGCGACATCGTAGCCCTTTCTCTCTAAGCGTGAAGCAATGCGCGTAGATTTTGGAGATGCTCTTGAGCAATTGGCACCGCTGACGAGAAGTCGTCCAGGTAGACTGCCACTCCATGTAGATCACTGGTGAGCTGTTCCATGATCTCTTGAAAATAACTGGTGCCGAACTGATGCCGAACGGCAGCCGAAGTTGAAGCAGTACGCCTCGGTGTGTACTGAGGGCTAGCCTTTTCTGGCTTTCAGGAGCGAGCTTTATCTGGTTGTAAGCATCCGCCAGTGTCGAGTTTAGTGAAACCGTGTCCTCCACCCAGTTTCCTCATGAGATCCTCGGGAGGGCATAGGTGTCGGTGGGTATCTATTGTGGGTTTACCGTAACAGAGTAATCCCCACAGACTCGTAGCTTCGGTTTCTGCTCGCCAGGTGCCCCACTCTTCCTGATCGAACCGACGGGTGTGCCACTATCATTGAATTGTGCGGGCTTCCACACACCCCTCTTGATGCGGGCACATATGCTTGTGTCAGATCCTTCTTGAATTGCCGTACGGGACTGGCCGCGGCCTGCAGAATACGGGCCTCGCATCCCGCTTGAACTTGATCTACTTCAAAGTCTTAAGCATTCCGAGCTCCCGTTTGAATACCCCGGATGCTCATCACAAACCTGCTGCAGGCTGTCTGTAACGACAGATCTGGATGCAGATCGTTCGATATGGTATGCACGGTACCATCGGGTAAAGAGCGGCGATGAAAAAAAACATTAATGTCTATTCCCATTTCATGTATGGCGCTACGACCAACAGGTTAGCGCTGGAACTTCGTCACGGTAAACTCTATGTTCCGCGCTTCGGAGTTTCTTGGTGGCATCTTGGCATTCGCTGTAAACGTGCCCATGACCGTCAGCTGATTTCCTGTTCCCTTGTATGGCTTGTTGGCTGCGTAGGCATGGCTTCCCAGCTTTACCAGACGTCCCCGAGCAAAAGTTGTCTCCCGCCACCAGTGTCGATTCAAATCGAACTTCTTTCCGTTCAGAGAGATGGGTTGCAGGAGCTCAGGGATTTCTCCCTGCCGTTTCACCGTCTGGAGTCTCTGCTTGTAAATGGTCTTCACCGCTGGCTTGTTGCCTCTCTTCTCTGCAGACAGACAGACTGAAGGTGCCTTTCCGTGGCAGAAATGGCAGGTTGCGGTAAGGTATGGGCATACTTTGCTAATATGGTCAGACTGCCACAACGCCCACCAGACTCCTTTGGAAACGCCCTGGTGTATCTGGTCCATGGTTAGTTGAGTGCCCTCCACTTGACCCAGTGGTGAAGAGCGTGGCTCATGCTGCAGCTTATTCACCAGCCTCGGCTGAATCCCATGCACGGTTCCCTTGGCTACCCTTGCCGCATCTTCAGTCTCCATGCGACCTGGATTGCTCGAGCGTACGACAGTTCGTCATCCTTGATTTTAAACAACGCCTTCAGACGCCTCATGTTCACTGAACAGATGAAGCGTGTGCGCATGGCCTCGTCTAGGGGGTCTTTAATGGATGGGAAGTCACTGTAACTGCATCTTGTCTGATGCGTGCTGCCAGCTCTTGATCTTCTCTCCGGTTTCCGCCGCATCTCCGACCAGAATCTAAATCCGCTCCCGACGACAAAGAGTTGGGGTCGAATGATTCTTCATGAATTCGGTGATCTCAGCCATGGTGATTTCATTGATGTTCTTCGGTGGCGTTTGCTAAGCAGCGAGGTTGCAGAGCGCTTGTATGTCACCGTCGACTGGTTTTTAGAAAAACTCTGTGCAGCTTTTCCTCTGGTATAGAGTTTGCTCCCGTATACGTGACGAAACGCGCCCAGTAAATCCGCCCATAGCTCGAAGTTGGCTCAAATGCTGTAAAGCTAGGGATACTAACCTTGCGTGTTTGTCATAGAACCCGGCTGGTAATTGTTGTATCAGCGCCTCCATTTGCTGTCGCTGTGCGCGCTAGCTGTTGTTCATGCCTTCCTGCTGCTGCTGCAGTTGCTGCTGAAACTGCTGTTGTTGCACCTGTTGTAGGCCCTGCTGGTGGCTGCAGTAGCTCGAGCAGTTTCGCTGTATCTGACATATTTTCCAGTACGTCACGCAAACTCAGTGCTTGACTCTCAGACTCTGTGGAAGTTACTTGCTCGTTGTAGCTATTAAACCTCCAACCTCAGAGTTGACTGTGGGTAGAAACACAATCCAATCCCATCCTCGTCGCCACAAAACTGTTGTATTTCTAGAAGTAAAGTCGTAAGAGCTGACGTATAATATATAAACTCAACAAAGGATTTATTTCCAGCCACTCTCCAGCCTGCACGTAGTAGAGTGACCACGCAAGTACATGGCTACAGGAAATAGTATAGCGCCACCTATTGGGCCTAATATGGGAAAATGATACAATAATGTCACATAATAAACAAACTAACAGGGGCGAAAACATAACATACTTGGCGGAGGTAACTACAGTTGCAGTACAGTACAGCTTAGTACAGCGAAACATCGCACATGATTACATAAAGGGTGATATCAAAGTGTAGATGTTCAACTAAAATTTTAATTTCATTTTTGCCCCAATTTAGTCACTTCTGTCACCTGCATGGCAGACCTTAGCACAATCTAAATCACATTGCTTTGCATTCTGATGCTATACATACCCACAAGCATTTTCCACTTCAACCTTCACCAATAAATTTAAGATATTTTTCGATCTGACAAGTGTGGTTACTAACATCTGACCAAACCAATCGGATGTCTTGGAAGTCGGGTGATTTGACCCACCTATGTAAGCAGTGTAGTCTGGCCTGCTTGTTGTGTACAGACACACACACAAGCGGGCTATCTTATCCCGGGCTAAGTTAGCCCGGGCCTGGCCCTGCTTCATTCGCGGGGCCAACTTGGAGCGGGATAGCATGTACACACTGCAAATATTTAACGCGGGCCTGGCGCGCGCTTGTTTAATACCATATCAATTTCGTAGTCTGTACGGGGTATTAATTCCCTAACATCATAAAATAGAATAACAAAGATACTCGATGATTTGTTTTTTTGTAATTTCCTTGCTGGCTTTTATCAATCATACTGACTCTGGGTAAGGAAAGATGTACCATGTGTGCATATTGATATAGGTTTCTACTTTGTAAAGATTTGAGGAATGTTAATGCATTCACTGTGATGTGTAAAGGTATAACCTCTGATCGTCTACCTTTATGTGATAACATCGGTATTTCTGACAGCTTATACAATAACTGCACATTGTAACAGATCTATACTTTTCAATATCAGCTTTTTCATGTTTATACAGAGTTGTGGCTAATGGTTATATAATCTGTCCCAGCAAAGTATGCCACAAACAAAGTCTTGAAGTTCACATCACGGCATGAATAGTGTTTTATCAATTCCTCATTTAAACACAAATATGACTCTAGTCTTTCAACGTTATGTTCATGTAATTGTGTTCACTCATGTCTATTGAGTAGTGCTATAATTATCTTAAAATGCACTGTTCCCATTATTTGCACGGATAGTAGTTGTCATCTAGGTTGGTCATGTCAGAAATCGAACATTAGGTATCACTGATTAGTTTGCTTGTGGCTGTTTTATTTCACATTGTTGTAGGAAACTGATGTATTCTGGTTATGCATTAAAATAGGTCATTTACACATACTAGATATGCATACTTCCTAGTATTTTAGCAAGGATCCAACAATGGCAAAATTGTACTAGTGTGCATGAATACTTGTAGGTTGTGTGGTCTGCCAGTTTTGAAGTGCAAACGAAAATACGCCCCTGCACTGCATTATGTATAATATATATGCCACCGCCCTATAATATATATTTTATGATAACAACTGAGGGAAAAAATATTGCAGATCTGATTTTGAAATTGTCTCTGACATTGCAGCCTGGGTGGGAAGAGCGAATACACTCAGATGGCAGAGTTTTCTACATTGACCACAGTATGTATGATATCTACTATTACTCTGAGTTTAGTTGTGCATAAAAGGTTTCTCTTTGTACTGTATGTAACATGCCTATCAAAGCCACTGGGTTTGCCTGTTGCACGCTAAAGGTCTAGTAAGGGTGACCTCATTCATTGATAGTCCTAATAATCACGATCAATATAATTTCGTTCAGTAGAGGAAACCTGTATATTTGTGTAATTCTTGACTAGTTGGATGAATATGCACCAGATGATGTCATGGGTTTGCAGATTGAGTATTTGTTATATTTTCATTTCTGTTTTATTTAGATAAGAAAACAACACAGTGGGAAGATCCGAGACTGCTCGATCCAAAGGTTGCTGGAAAGGTAGAACCTTCTGTTGTTAAATGATAAATTATATATTTCTGATTAAAAGATTTTCAAATTAATGATGTCTCAAACATATTCAAAAAATATGAATCTATAATAAAGTATAGTCTTAGCTATTGGCTGATATCGGATGTACTTTTAAGTACAACTGTAAAATTACTAAGATTTTAAGATGGTATAGATTATAAATTAACAATTGAGCAGGAGTCGCCCATGAACATTACTTGGATATTGAAAACTAAAATATTGAAAAGTGGTGCAAGAAACGCAAGTGGATATATTTGTGTCTGCTATGAAATTATGTCAATTCAGGTTTGGCCCATGTCTAAATTTTGCTATCCACTGTTCCTGCTTAGACTCTTCCAACTCGACACGGTTCCTATTTGTCTTTCAATCCTCCGGCTTTTATTATAATTTTATATAATATATGATTGACTGTAAAGGTATGGAACCATGCACAAAACTGCTAGTAAGATTGATCTATTTGCAATTATCACTATGGCTATTGAAATGGTTTACTAGATTGCAGCGTTTGACACTCAAGAATGTCACATGATATCAACATTAAATGATTATTTAAATGTGCAATCGTTGTATATTTTGGTGGAAATAACAGTGTACTAGTCTTCTAAGGCATAAACTTAAGCAAGTACATATTAGTACATTTGCAGATGCATAACTATAGTATACCATGCGTAATGGCCTGCAAGTATGGTATAATTGAAATTGAAAGCATTAATAGAAAAAATATTTCGGTCATGCTATTAAAAATGTGTCCTTTTTTGCTTTTTAGGCTGTGCCGTATTCGAGAGATTACAAGAGAAAGTACGACTACTTCAAATCAAAGCTTCCGAAACCAGTGAGTCTAGAAAACTATATGAGTAACTATAGACAGACTGGTCTGAAATAAGTTTAGATCGTTTATTAATAATGCATAACTAACTAGATATAACAAGGAGGTATTGCAAACAGAAAGTTTGATTACTAAATCTTTACAAGTAAAGATCAGAGATTTATGAACACGCTGACCTATTACTAATATGCTAGCTGTGGTTACCTTTTTTAATTTGTGCTCTTATACCATTGCGGTAAAGTTATTCTGTGTCCTTCTACTTGCAGATGAATGTACCAAACAAGTTTGCATTTAAAGTTAGGAGGCAGCACATCTTCGAAGATTCCTTCAAAGTGATATATTTAAACCTGCAACGTAGGGATCTGTTGCGAACAAACCTGTGGATAGAATTTGATGGAGAAGTGAGTTCTTGTTCGTGAGGATGCATTTTCAGTTTCTTGACCATATTCTAAGAGGTCATTTGAAAGTAGTTGTTAACTTTTAATAAGTTATATCCTTATAGCTTCCAATAATCTTATCCTTATCCTTATCTTATCATCCCCATGTCCTTATAGCTCTGGTTGATAAATATCTATTCAGTCTTGACTTTTGATATGAATCGTCAAGTTGATAACTGTTTATTACAGGTTGGCCTCGATTATGGTGGCTTAGCTAGAGAATGGTTTTACCTTCTCTCCAGGGAAATGTTCAACCCATACTATGGCTTGTTTGAATACTCAGCCACGTAAGTCATACTACTCGGCATGTTTTTTCTTATATGCAACATTAGTGTCTATTGTATGTCATATCCAATGGAAATAACCCACAGTGTTTATGTGTGGGGTCTAGACTACGAACAAGTGTTTGTCATTGTTGGACAAAACTAGAATGGAAAGCATATTGACATTATTAGTTGTTGTTCAGTTGGTAATGACCTAGCTACAGATTACATGAGAAGGTGTGTTCAACTAGCCCAGGTGAGAGTTAGCATGACCTTAGGTATACTCTCATGGAGTGTACTGTGAGAGAGTATACATATGTTCATGGACTTATTCATAAGGGCTTTGCTAATAAACAGATTTTTGTATAGACTATTGGTACAAAACCATTATGAACGAAATTTACATTTTAAACTGTGTAATTATGTTATAATTTCTAGCTGTGCTAGTAACAGGGTGGCCTGTGTTGCCTATAGTAACAACTGATAGGTTACTACGAGTAACAAAACATTGGTGGAATTTATACGTGTAGAACAGGAACTGTACATTGTTGGCTAGTGTTGTTGGAACCTAGCAAGTGCAGAGATATCATCTGTGCACCTAGCCACAACATGATTTACATAATCCAGCCTGATATGTTACACAAGAACTCATGTTCCCCACGATTTCTTTGGAAAATTACCTACAGATCTGGAAGATCAAATAATGTACTACCTAATTGTTCATGCAATAGGGCCTACACAGTGTGCACACCACTACTGAGTCTTGAAAGATCTGTGACCTAATTGTGTCACTGCCACTCAGCGAGCTTGCTTTGTTCTAAGGAGTAAAAACATTGCCAACCATCGGCAGTTATATTAGTTATTATCAGAGATTTTATGGCAAGTGTAGATGGCTTTTTACAATTTTTCTTTGGATTCTGAAATTTTAACTGGATTTTCTCTTTGCTGATTTTCAGTGATAACTACACACTGCAGATCAACCCAAACTCAGGCCTGTGCAACGAAGACCATCTGTTATATTTCCGGTTTATTGGCAGAATTGCGGGCTTGGCTGTCTACCATGGGAAACTATTAGATGGTACTATTTCACTATATCATATATCTCAGCTATTGACTCCTTTATTTTTTAACTTCCATGCTAACATTTTTAATTACAGTACAAAATCTATTATCCGAAATGTCTACTGAATTTTTATCTTCCAATCTTATTCTGTATTCACTATACAATAACAACCAAATGTCACCTAGAGGTAGCGTGAGGATAAGTCTTTTGCAAGTTGAGACTGGGGGCTATTTGGCAGTAGATCGTTAATCATCACAGCCAGCAGCCAATTTGTGCCTAAAATTTGAGTGGCTTGACCTATAGACGGCAGCCACGGGTGTACACATAACCTCTCTTCAAGGTTCGTATGGGTCTTGGGCGATTTGGAAGGTCCTAAAATGTTAAAATACTATTTTCTAGATCTGGAAAATCCTGGGAAATGGGCTATGGTTCTGAAAAGACATGCTTGTTATGCTTGGTCTATGAAACGCTTTAAATTTGGGCACATGTTTATCATGTCTGAGAGGTGATTAAACTCAGTTCATGGAAACATTCGTTTACTAGTCATTGATTAAAGGTTACGAGGTACAAAGATTGTATCAGCTTAAATCATGTCATCTTTGAAAGTGGGCCTTCTCAGTCTTGAAAAACTGCAAAACTCTTGAAGATATTTTTTACGTTTGGTGTATGAACCTCCTCCCCCCTCTTTCTCTCTTTCCCAGCGTTCTTCATCAGGCCTTTCTACAAGATGCTGCTTGACAAGCAGATCAAGCTGTCAGACATGGAGTCAGTTGACTCGGAATACTACAACTCTCTCATATGGATCATGCAGAATGACCCGACTGAGCTCGATCTACGGTTTGCCGTTGATGAAGAGTTGTATGGCCAGGTGCGTAGATACCACAGGGTTCTTCCCAGGCGGTTAACACGTGGGTTCTGACGTGCCTTCAAAAATTCTGAGATGCCAGGCCTTCTGAATTTCCTATGGAGACATCCAGGACGTGGAGTTTAAGTTGGAAATTCAAACAACATTGCCATTTTATGTGTCCAAATCAATCCTAAATGAAGCCCTCATATGATGAGTTCCATTTGGTTTTACAGATGTTGCAGAAAGAGCTGAAGCCAGGTGGAAATGATATAGTTGTAACCAGTGTAAACAAATCTGAATATGTACAGTGAGTATATCTTGGCAGAAACTGCCAGAAGTGTATTTGAAACACAGTTGTTCCTATTCCATTACCCCAACCGTGATGTATATATATACGTAGTCATTCTAAGTACTCATGAACTTCTCATCCTGCTGATCACTCCTCGTGTGTGTGTGTGTCTGCCCTAACTTGTATCACTTATTTGGCCCCGTTTATTGACCTCTTCAGGCTAGTTATGCAGTGGCGGTTTCTGGTGCGAGTCAAGAGTCAGATGATTTCTTTCAAGGAGGGATTCAATGATGTCATTCCTATTCACCTGCTGCAGATTTTCGATGAGAATGAGGTTGAGGTATGGAGGAAATACGGGAGGGTGTCTAGCAGAGAGAAGCGTGTGAGGCTGACTGCTGTGTTGAGAGTTCAGATTTGTTTCATAGCCTTCACAATCAGTATAGGTGGGCTCAGGCAGAGCGCCGTAATTGTTCTCGGGATGCTACTAATGTTTGTCGTTCTAAAGATTCATCAGTCAGAAGAGTAGCCATCTTCCGCGTATTGTATTAAATACAAATACAGTGTAGCCCCGTTATATCGCGATGGTTGGGGTCTATAAAATGTCATTGCAAAAAAAGCTGGGTCTCACTAAATTAGGGTTATATATACGTGGCTATATATATAAGAGCAAAAAAAGGGGTCCAACGACTCATCGCGTTATATCTGAATTCGCGTAAAATCGGGGCGAGTAAAATCGGGGTTCCACTGTACCGTATTACTTCTCTTAATACATGCGTACATATTTTACTAGTGGCACAAATAAAACTTGATTTAACACAAGTCAATGTGTCGATGCGTTGGCATTATTTTAAAGCTTTTATCGAGCCTAGAATTCGTTTATCGGCATGGCGTGCAAAAGATAGAGATCTTTCTCTTGTTAGCTGTCAGAGCATGCTTACGTAGCTTCTGCACTACCTACTTGTAGTAACACTACAGTCCATACAGAGCCTTAAATTATGTTTAACTCACGAGTATATCTGTTGATTCTTCAGCTGCTAATGTGTGGTCTGGGTGACATCGATGTGAAGGACTGGCGAGACAACACCGTATACAAGGGAGAGTATTTCCCGAACCACAAAGTTGTGCAGTGGTACTGGCGGGTACGTATGGCAGCTCACGAATCGTGTAAATCAACCCGATCACCTCTCATTAATGGAAGCTAATGTTTGAGTGTTCCTACACTTCAGAACTTTTATAATGCCAGAGCACCTTGCATTCACTGTCACATTCATCATTCTATCATGACACATCGTCATCACATTCAGCTTGAGTCGCAGCGTCTGGGGGTTTCAAGCGGTGTAGTTAAAGATCCTCATTTCTCTTCAGTGTCTTCAAGTTATTACACTCAATTATTCCATTTACTTATCTATGCAGACTGTCTGCTGTTTGGTGCTGTATGTCCTATTGCCTGATGATACTAGACAATTATTGTTCTCGAATTCTCTAGCTTGTTCTGGCGATGAACAATGAGCAACGTGCCAGATTGCTTCAGTTTGTGACAGGAACCTCGCGAGTTCCAATGAACGGCTTCAAGGAACTGTACGGCAGTAACGGCCCGCAGTTGTATACGATAGAAAAGTGGGGCAAGTCGACCGAATATCCCCGTGCTCATACATGGTGAGTCTATGGTCTTTTTTGAACTATTTTTGTTTGTTTGCCTTCGGTATAGAAAAAATTGTTTTCAATTTAATTTATAGTAAGGTGCTTAGAGCTTCTCTTAATCCACCGAGGTAATCAATTATTAATTGAGTAACTATTCCGTATAACAATCGAGTGGTTCACCCTTCTCTTGCTGCAGCCATATCCAGAATTACTTTGTGTTTTCTCGGGCTAGAAATATCCTTAGTTTAGGTTCTTTAACCACTTGCTGTTTTCGTTGCCAGTTAATCGAAAGACTGTAACCAGTCTGAAGTGTTTTCCAGTGACAGAGGTTAGATCTATGATCATGATGTTCATGTTATACAAGAACGCTCTCCCTTAATGTGTGGCTATGCCTGTGCGGACATTATGCCGTGCGAAGTTTGTTCTTTTGTTTTTGTCGTTATGTAAAAAAATCTCCCACATACACTACTGTATAATAAAGATCCTCTGTTTGCAGACAGAATTTCATCAAATAAAAAGTGATTTATTTAGGAATTTTGCACAGGGGAGAGATAGTGATTCGCTAGGGGACAGCTCTGATTGGCTAATTTTGTCTCTTGTTTATTTTATTTTTTATTATTTTTGGCTAATTTTGTTTTATTTTAGAATTAGGGTTAGGGTTATAGGGCTAACTGATTTCTATATCCACAACTTATTTCTATATTCACTATCTCTCCCCTGAGACCTACTATTTATTTAGGGTTTTTAGCTCAGATGACGAAGTCAGATGCAGCTTGTAGAATCGCATGAATGTCCGTCCGTCCGTCCGTGCGTCAACAGTTACGGCACAAATCTTAACCGCGCGACGTACGATCTTGATATTCGGGACATCGGGGGGGATTGCGAAAAGGACTCGGGATGTCGAATTTGGGGGTCAAGGGTCAAAGGTCAAGATGTGCCAATGGAGGGGGAATATTTTCTCCTTAACTTAAGGTATAGGAGGAAATACGGAATTGCGGCAAAAATCTCAACGGCTCGACCTACGCTCTTAATATTTGATGTATAGTGTGATGGGGAGGAAACCCGGCCATCACTAGCGCGAAATTGGAGGTCACAGGTCAAAGGGCAGTGGGGGAAAGGTCAGATATCAGACATTTTCTGAGGACATGGTCTAACGGACCGAGTGCAAACTTTTTTGTTTCAGCACTGACCTACCATTTTTATCACTTTATTGAAAGGATCGTGAATCTACTTTCCGGCGAAGAGTAAGTGTCTGATAACCTTTTGACGCCTCAAGAGGAGAGTTAAACAGGGATTTGTTGACTGTTAACAAGGACTGAACTGCTTTTGCTATTAGAGCCCCCTCTAACCGCGCCCTACCCCACCCTCCCCACCACTACCACTCCATCGCGCTCGACGCATATCCATGATAACGTTTAATATAGCGAAGTTATTAAGTTACACAGCTATATCTTTATTATCTGTACTACCGGTATAGCAAAGCCTATCAACGCGGGTGGTGGAGGGCGCACTTGATTCGGTTGCCAGTGAGTTTATCAGAAGTTCATATCCCGGCTACAGTACACGTCAGTTGAGCGCTGTCGCTCTGCGGCACTTGTTCTTTTACAATAAGCAATTGTATACGTAGTTGTCACCCATGTACTAGGGGCATATAGGATATTCCGATGTGCAATTTCTCTTGCAGTTTCAACCGCCTCGATCTGCCTGCATACGACTCTTACGAAGACCTACGCGACAATCTGCTCTTCGCTATAGAAAACACACAGGGTTTTGAGGGTGTCGACTGAAGAAGAGGTGCTGTAACATTAGTTGCGGTCTTCGAGTCATGCGTCAGATCCATTGGTGTGCACAGGGGGCGCCATGCATCATGTTCATTACACCTGTTAGGTGCGATGCTGATGTACTTTGCATCCATTCTTAGCAACAACAACTTGTTAACTTGGAGCAGCAGCTAGCTAGCTAGGACAAGAAGGTACCTGTCACGGATGCGTCACCACGTGGTGGGTAATAGGGGCTGGGCGGGGCTTTTTTTAATACTTGGGCAGCTGGTAGATAAACTGACAGATTGTGTGGTATTTTACTAAAGTTCTTTATACTTTTCGGCCACATTTAGGACCACATCGAAATGTAATATATTCTCCCGTTTAATTTAAACAGGAAAAAGGCGATACAGCATGAAACTTATTAAGCAGTTACAGCATTGTGGTCTAAGTTGATGTAAGTATTGGGTTTCAACGTTGCTCAAAATTGATTAATTTGCATGTAGTACAGACATGATTGAGCAGTTGTATAGCTGGTGATTTGGGCTTTGGAAGGGAGGAAGGGGATATAAGCCAATATAGAGATATTGCCGGTAGCATAAATTTTTGTTATAGTATTTATGCAATTTATCTAAATAATTGCTATAATCAATGTCAGGTTATGTCAGCTTCTACCAGCTATGTCTCTTTCGGTTAAAATTGTCATCGTGCACGAAATGCTACGGTTTACTGTTCAGTATAATAACTTAAAAGAGTTCTACCAATTAAAATTGTAATTTTTTATCGTTTCTTGGCAATAGAGATCATTGCTATTCCTCTAAACAAAGACATACTGTGTAGCATGCACAAACGTACCATCATTGAGGGAAATTACATCATCCCTGTGAAGAACAGCACAAGCAATGCTGTGACAACCATAAATATAAGCAAACGGTCATGGACAATTTTTTAATCCAGGTTTTTTTAGTGCTCATCCACAGTGTGACTGACATCGACTTTTGTTCGCCTTTTTATTATGTATGTTGGACTTGTTCGTCCAACACGTGTGGCAATCGGTTGTGGGAATGCGCTAGGGTAATTGCTGGAGAGAGAATAACAAAAGTTTGTTGGCTGCCAGTGTATTGGCAGCTAACAAACATTCTCTGCGAAAGCATTCCTTATAACTGTGGACTTAATCCTTCACAAACGTTTGGGTTAGGCCCAGACATGTATTAAACATTATTGTAAGTTACTTAATTTTTGCAGTAAAGTGGTAAAATCTATGTATAGGTCCATCTAGATCTGGTTGCAACGCTAATGCACTAGCAGCGTGCGTGCGTGCATTCATGTGAGTGTGTGTATATGTGTCTAGTCTTTTGGTAGGCTATAAAGGTGGTATATCCTCTTTCACACTTTTAATATACGGTCATTAAATGATTGCTATACTAATATACCTGTAGCGAGGTTATGAACTCGCTAATTTCGAAATTTGAAGAAGAATACACCACCTCAAAAGTGGTTTAATACCTCGTTAATATAAGTTTGGTGATATATATTATATATATATAATATATATAATATTTTTTGCTTTTATATTATTTGCAAGTTCACTATTGCCCAAATTATCAGGTTTACAATGTAGAAGTGCCTAGAGACTACAATGTAGAGACTATATCTCAGGTACACACTCATGTAACAATTATCTTTCAACGTATAAGGCAAGGTTCACACGCAAATAACGTTGATAAACAAATTGTTTGGCAAAACTCGTGTGTATATAATATGTTCTGGTGTATTAAATGTGCTCCATTTTATTAAACCCATTACATGCTCGTATACGAAAACGGAATGAAACGACCACTGTGGGCGTAGCGGATAGTGACTGTGCCAGGGGTGGCTTTAGTGGGCAGCAGCCTCCTCCTAATCTTCATCCACCCCCCCCTCAAAATCCCCCAAAGCCACCCCAAAATAAGAAAAAATAGTGCGTTTGCTCTACAAAGGTAGCTTCGAGACAGTCCCTAGCCCTCTCTTCCAACCAGATTGCCCGCTTCCCCTAAACTCCTGTGTAAAAATTCCAGAGCCACAAGTGTACGTTGGCTTCCGAAGGTACAGGTGTCGTCTAACACGTGCGTGTGTAGTATGTTATTTTCTAGCGTTTTTTACAGATCTAGACCTTTCCTATTGAAATGACGAGCAGGAACATCTACCTATATATATATTATATATACTACTATTGTATACACACACGAATGTGAATAATCATGCTTTTAAAGATTTCATACACTAAATTATAGTTTCCGTCAGACGTTATATTTATATGCAGAATATTTGCTGTATTTGACAGCAATATCTTTGAAAATATATCAAGTTGATCACGTAACTTATGGCTGTGGCATATAATGTGCTTCTATGTATTAGATATAGTAATGTGAGTAGGTACAGTAAAGTCAAAGTGTACGTGCTTGCAGTCCATATACAGTAGAGCTGAAGGTTTCTATGGAATGTTTTGTAGGTGATAGGTTTGTTAGAAAGCGAAATTGTGCATTGTGTGACCCTCAGTAGGAGAAACGGGAATGGTGACCTTTTATATGGAAACGGTTTGAATGATGGTCTTGTATTATCATATAACCGTTGTATGCTAGAAACCCTCGTTTTTAAGTCTCGCATGTTGCGGACGTATGTTTATATAAGAACCTTAAATGCCCCATTCTTCTACTATGTTTGAAGATGTGTGTGCTGGCTGTACAGACAAAAATTAACATTTCTTATTTTTAAAGGCATAAATGTTGGCATGTAAACATGCTGCACAATAACATTTAAATGGTATTTAGCCAAATAAATTTGTGGCTTTCGTGTGTGTTCCTAAGACGTAAATGCAGTATTATTAAAGGCTTTATTCAATACCACTTTGTTTGTTTAGTTCTAACGTCTGTGATAAGTACGCCATCATGTACAGTAATATACAGTAATGTACGTAGTACCGTTAATAGCACATATAGCTACATCACAAGAATCTTCCATTTGTTGTTAGACGTTCTAATGCCTTTCTGGCTTCACATCGCCAAATATGGCATCCCATATATGGTTTCATAATCATGTACATTATACCAAGAATTAATAATACATGTATTATTACCTCTTGATTATACTACTACTACTACTGCTGCTGCTCATACAGGCCCACAATCTACTATGCACATTTCTGAGGATATGCAAGATTTCGGACACCTTTCCGATAGCCCTGGCAGGTTTTTTGGCGGAGAGTGCACGACGAGGTTATTTTATGGGGTGCTGCCGCCACAGACTCGCTAGGGTGTTACTCTATTATATGGTACGAAACATGTATAGTCATACCGTTCTGAAATCCGAAATACTCTGGCCTAAGCGTTTCGGATGAGGGCATTTAGACATGTACCACTAGTACTGAAGTTTCCTGGGCTTCCTATAAAGGTGGTATACAGATCATTCTCTTGGATATATTTCTCATTGACCTTGAGCTTCCCTAGCTTGTTTTGTGTTCCTCATGGTGTTTGCCTATCGGTGCAAGCTGATAGAAAATTTGGAACAGAATGCGTCCTTTGTATGTTCAGTGATATATCTTCTCCCTTAATGATTAATTGTTTTTCCTAAAATGGTATTTCCCACTTTTTTATTAATACGAGGTAGTGATGCATAATTTATCGTATGCTACTAGACGATCTGCAGCCCGGATATACGCGCGAAGCGCGAACAGCGCCACCTCGTGGCGCCTTTTCATCCAATTCGCTGCCCTCTATGTAGAACTAACTACTCGAAGCCCTCTGGGTACTACAGAAAGCCGGATAATCGGTCAATTGAGCAGTTCTGGCGATTGCAGAAGCCTTTCGACTCTGCACGTAGGGCGAGAATAAATCCAATGGTCGTAATTGCTAATTTTTTTGGTTGGCGCGTTAGGTTTTCGTCTAGAAAAGCGATTTCTAATTTATTTAATTTAACGCCCTGAACTTATTCTCGTACATATCGCGTCCCATAGATGGCGCGACGAGGCTCTCTTCGAGGGATTTTCCAGAGAATTTTCCTTAGACTGCCCCGCGGTGGAGAGTTTGACACGCTCCACTAACTATAACTTTAGTGTAGCGAAAGATACTTGGCCGAGTTAAGGCCCGTACGAGTCTAGCTGGAGTCGTGACGTGGGCCACCAGCCATCTTAGTTCCCCGCAGGCCTGACTGATTCCTTCGAGTTCGGATAGTAAGATCCCAAGCGATATGCAATATGGAATTTGATATGTCCTCTTTAGACCCGCGCTGCCCGTGGCGACGGCACGTCGTGCGAGCACGTGCTGGCGTGGCCGTGGGAGTTTTTACACGTAGCTAATCCTACAACACGCCGCCACACTCACGCACTGGCTGCGGCAGCATTGATGCATGTATATAGATACCTTATTAACCCGTGGCGCAGAGCGAGCGAGAGCGAGAGAGAGAGACAGACTGCGGGAGTGCGAGAAAGAAGAAAAGATAGTGGAGAACGCCAGATAAGGTACGAAAATACGGCAGGTGACGGTACGACGGCGAGGATGTACAAACGCGTGTCAATCCATAATCGGAAAACCCCCCCTCGAAAGCCGATGTACCGCAGCCGATGTACGTGTCCCGAAAACTCCGCGCATGTTACGCTGCCCGCTATACGCATTCGCCGCGCCCGCCTTCCTTCGGCGCGCGAATGCGTATAGCGGGGAGCTATACGCATAACATCCCGCGGTCGCGTGCGCCCAGTCCCGCGGAAGTGCGCGGCTTAACCGCTTTCGGCGGTCGGGGAACAACGCATCTTTTGCGCAAGGCCATCTTGTATCCGGTCTCTCTGGTTGAAATGCAGAGTACACTTCAGCGAATATTTAACTACATCCGTTCACGCTGTGACTGTCTCATACCTCATACCAGAACAGTTGTGTTGAAATCGAGTTCCCCTTCCAAAAATATACTCCTAGCTTTCGCTGTGGTCTTTCCAGCCATTCTGCCAGCGCAGCATGGAATGGTGGGAAGTTGCCAACCAACATCATTACCCATGTCCCTCCACTGCTATGTTTCGATTACCTTCACTTGTCAACATCCTGCTGGTCATTACAATGTAACCATCTAACCACTGAAAATGATATAGTGATGGAAAAATAATAAATTTTATGAAATTTTACCAATCGAAATGTCAGTAAATGAGTAATGCTTTGAGTTTAGTCATTTCATCCCTGCATATATATAAAATATAAATTTAGACAAATTGTCTTCCATTTTATTCATTTTAAATTAACACAATTTCAATGTCATTTAAATCATCAACTACTTTAATATCAATAAATCGGTGAAAACAATTACACATTCATATACCAATGATATTTATAATCTTCACAGATTGAATAGTCAAAATCTCTTCCTCCCTCCCACTAAAGCATGTATTTCTTTTTAGGGTTCCTTGTAGTAACTGTGCTAATACATCATATATGTATATTATACCAAATGCCAATTGATTCATGTATACTAGTAATTAATCAGACATTTGATAGTGAAAAATCACTTCAGTTTCCAAGAGAAAATATGAACAATTTAGTATGTGAGTGCAAGTGAAAGAGCATAAAAGTCCATTCGATTTAATCAATCGTCAATTATTGTTTACATTTTTGCACTTCTCTATGACCAATGTTTGATCATACAAATTTTCTGAATGATGTTATTAACATCGTGTATTTGATATTTGTTTTAATTAAAATTCAACCGCTAGTTATGCCCACTACTTTTACTTTGTAAAACTAACACTCTTCTTATTGATTTGCAAATAATCAACTCTATCATGCACTACATTTTCCTAAAAATTTATACTCGTTGCTCAATTCTGTAAGCATCGACACTATACATGGTACACCTCACTTACGTGCCCACTGCCCAGTATCGCTATTCACACCAACCTTAATCTTAGATGTGTATATATGAATGTGAAACTTTTAAATACTATACATGTCATTAAAGCATATGAAATAACACATTTATAACACAAACAATGTACGGTCATGTAACCGTAACAGCACGTGAATGCAATGAGATGCCATCTCAATCAATCGATTTTAATCCTCGTTGCACATACGAGTCAATGTAGTTCAACATAAGAACAGCCTACATTACTTCAGCAGTGTCTCAGACACATTCAAAAAAATCCCACACTGTCAGTACTTGGCTGACAGGCACCGGCGGATCGTACGAAAAGAATGTACTGACCAGAGACTGCTGAATCTCAGTGCATTTCCACAAATGCCTCTGTTCGCTTTGGCAAGTGCCCTTTGTACGGGATATCACTGTGCATGATCATGCGCGCCGCTAGGCACTGCAGCGACGTGTGTCTCATCGGGCAGATCGCCACGCATGTCGCGGCGCCCTGCAGCAGCTCCATGGCAGTCTTGTGCTCGTTGTTGCACACGTCGAGGTGCGCACCGCCGTTCAGCAGCGCCTTCATGATCTCGACGTTGCCGTTCGTTGTGTTGACGGCGGCAACGTGCAGCGGCGTGTTGCCCTCGGCGTCCGGGGCGTCCGTCGCCGCGCCGACCTCCAGCAGCAGCGTGACGACGTCGAGCGACGGGAAGCCGCAGACCGGGTAGCGGCCGACCGTCGACGTCTGCTTGCTGCACGCGTAGTGCAGCGGCGTCCAGTCGCGCGGGCCCGTCACCTTCAGCCGCAGGAAGTTGTAGACGGCCTGCTTGAGCGCGTGCTCCTGCGGCCGCGTCGTCTGCGACTGCACGCGGCACAGGATGCACACGAGGTGGATCGTGATGACGAGCGTGCGGCCAAAGTGCGTCGCGTCCTTCTCGAGCACGGTGAGCGTCTTCAGGTGCGCCGCGCCGCGCTCCACCTCGTGCACCGCCTTGCGGAAGATGACCATGACGTCGTCGAAGTTGACGCACTGGCCGCGCGAGAAGCGCGTCTCGTTCAGCATGAACGCGAACAGCTCGGCGAACGACAGGAAGCTGCTCTGCGTCATCGGGCACAGCGGGTCGAGCATCTCCTGCTGCATGTCGAGCGCGTACATCCACAGCGAGACGCAGCGCTCAAAGTTGCCCATGTCGGCGTAGACGGCGCCGCGGTAGCGGATGTAGTAGGACGTGTCCGGGTGCGCGGGGCCGAGGATGCGCTCGCGCAGCAGCAGCGCCTGCATGCGCATCTCGTCCGGGTCGGCGATCAGCTCGTCGAGCTGCTCCATCGTCGTCACCTCCTGCGTGTTCTCGTAGGCGGCGATCTGCGAGACGGTGACGGGCTTGCGGACGAGGCACGCTGCGTCGGCGTATCGCTCCTCCATCGCGCGACGCCAGTACTTGAGCGCGCCCATCATGTCGCGCTTCTTGTCGACGAACGTTGCTCCGAGCAGCTCGAGCGCGTCGATGCGCTCCTGCCGGCTCACCTCCGCTCGCTTGACGAGGTACTCGACGATCGGCGTGTGGCCTGTGACGGCGGCGGCGAGCAGCGGCGACATGCCGTACGAGTCGACCGTCATCTTGGCGCCGTGCGTCAGCAGCAGCTGCATGATGTCCAAGCTCCCCGACTCTGCGCAGTCATGCATGGCCGTGTTTCCTGTGGCAAGCGAACACACGGTGATAAAGCAAAATTAAAGATGCAAACAAACTTTTGCAGAGACTTCCTGCACGTTTCTAAAAACATGTATTTTAAATATGAATAGCCTGTTTCATATGGACTCGAACTAAATATAAAGCAATGGTTTACGTTGAACCTCTTATATTATTTCAATCTGGTACTTCAATTGATATTAAACTAATCAATGGATTACATTTAAATATACAGATAAATGTCCACCTTTTAAACTCTTCCTATTGATTTCGGCACCTAACTGAATGAGAAATTTTGCAATATCATAATGTCCCTTATAGCACGATATCATTAGGCAGGTATGCCCATGCCTGTTTGCCACTTCTATATCGGCATTGTTCTCAACCAAGTATTTGACTATATCCATGTGTCCATCAAAACATGCTGCCCTCAGTGGAGTGGAGTTTGTGTAGGTAGTACCATTTACAGAAGCACCGTTCTGATGGAGTAATTTAACAATGTTCAAATGTCCAGCGGCGGCAGCGCACCACAACGGTGGCGCCCCTTCTATAGTTTCACCATCGAACGTCACTGAGCCCACTTGTGTCACAGAAGCGTCGCATTCTTTGACTAGGTACTCGACTATGTCATGGTGTCCGTTTCTTGCAGCCGCTAAGAGAGGAGTTGCGTCGCTTGTGAGTGAAGATACCAACACTTTCACAGCCTCCCTGGAGCGATGATCAAGGAAAATACGCAAGCGTCTCAACTTGCCATCACGAGCGGCAATATACACAACGTTTTTGAATTCCATGGATACAAAAACATGCAGATCACAAAGTAATTCTTCACGGCGACAATCTATATAGTCGTGGCTAATAAAAATACATGAATATGCTCGACAACGATACTTATCACTTTTACGCCATGTTGAACAATACTCCCAATAGAGGGCGCACCATTTCAGCTTTGAAAAGCGCAGCTGTAACCCATTGCACTACACGTGTGTTCAGTCAACCAGTGGCTTATGAAAAGTCACTCTTTCCATTGACATTTATGTAATTACACCTAAAATGTCTTGGTTATTTGGAATGAACAAAGGGCAGCCGCCTCCGGAAATGCCACAATTCCCCCAGTTTCCGCAACCACCCCCGTCAGACGGAGGAAAAGATGGTGAGTTTTCGATTAAATGAACCGCATTACGAACGTCGGACCCGAAGGTTACGTAGTAAACCACAGGCACGGGCACTTGGAGTTGGAGCGTTTCAATAAAATATAATGCTAAATAAATACGAAATCTATTTACTACCAAAGTCTTAATGTTTCGCT